GAGCCAGCCATTCAGCAGCAAATCCAGGATTCCCAATCTCATTATTCATCTCAGACATGATAAGGGAAGAGGCATATTAGCAAGAAAGAAACAGAGGACAAAAGGTGCTTCTTAACCCTTTTCTTGCCTGCTACTTTTCATCTTAGCTGCCTCCTACCAGACATTTTTCCTCACTTGACCAGAAAACCAAATGTAACAGAATGTCAGAACCCACAACCAACAACGGAGTACACGCTTTCAAGAAAGGTTATACTTTTATTGAAGAGCTATAGATGCATTAACATAGTCACTGTTAAGAATGGCAGTTGTCCCTTGGACATAATAAGATATAGGGCATTCGTATGCACCCCCCCCCCCCACTGTGCTGGCCAATTAGGCACCCTCCTGCACATGGGCTAAAGCCAGCAAACTGTTTCTAGGCGAAGCTGGGAACTGTCCGGCTCCCACGGCTGTCTGGAAAGGCAGACAACACACACTCTCACCTGCACATCATTATAGATAAGCGTTTCGGTGCAAAGCATAGACAGGAATGCGAAAGCAATTTACACAGACTCTGACTGAGCATCCCCACCCCCATGGCAGCATAGCTGACAGAAGATTGGTTAAGGGAATAGGGCTTACAGTTGCCACTAGACCTGGAGAAAGAAGTAGAGAGCTCCATTAGAAAAGTGGCAAGTCTGTGATGATCTCAGCACCCCTTCTCCTGTGTGGCTTCTCCCCCTGCAACCTCCCGCCTTGAATCCCCACTTTGCACATTAGAGGCAGACACATAGCTGAGACTTGGATACTTACTTTCAAACGTGTAGTTGCAATCTAATCAAACAAAGTTAGGCTGATTGCACACCTACTCAGGTAGACACCTAGAGCTTGTGAAGCAGCACACAGTTCAGGAGTAGAATCACAGTGTCTGGGGTTTTTTTGCAGTGCTTGCATGAGATCTGTCCAGAGTCGGTCTAAGGTCCCTTTCGTACAGGTTCTTTAACCTACTTTGGCTTCTAAAGGCAAACATATCTCTTTACAGTTTCATAAACCTTAAGGGCAAAACACTGCCTTGCCACAGTTAATGAAGATTTAATCTGGGTTTTCCAAAACCTGTTTTGTTCTGATGTTTTTTCTTGTAGTTGCATTATATCCTTAAGATGTGTGAAACCTTTAAAAAACATTCTGTTTCCCTTCAGAAGCCAAAGCGGATTAAAGAGTCCATATGAAATGAACTAGGAATGTGTGTAATTGTGGCTGCATATGCAATCCTGGCACCTGGCGCTTAGATCACGTACCTTTGGAAGGGTGAGAGGGCTTAGTTGTTGCATGATAAGAGCTTTTAGATGGCTGGACAATTTATCATGGAAATGCCAGTCCCCATAGAATCCATGATGTGTAGCCCATCCAAAAACTGTTGAGTAAGGACAGCCAAAGGGACATACCCAAACTGGGCTCTTCTTCAGAGTTTGTTATTGATGCTTTCCACATTGCAAATGTGGAACTACATCTGTACAGCCATGCAGAACTGCACAGAATTTTGTGCATGAGGACATATGTCTTCTTTTATAGTTGATTGGATCAAGTTGATGGGGTTGAAGACTTTGTTAAAGAGGAGCTGGGGAAATGACACTGACTGATTTTAAGATTTCCCTTGCAGACTTATTCCTTTAAGAAAAAAGCTGGATCTGTTGTTGTTTTCTTTTTTTGTTTTAATGTAATGTACAGCTGAAGGACATGGCTGGTCATTCTAACAGAGAGAATTCTGAAGTGAAACCCTTTCTTAAGATGTATAGCAAAACTTTATCCATGTAGTCCTATGGGGAAGTTACAGTAACTTAGCTAAGAAAAAAATCCTTTAAATGTCAAAGAAATATTTTTAAGAACATAAAGAACATAAGAGAAGTCACATTGGATCAGGCCAGTGGCCCATCCAGTCCAACACTCTGTGTCACACAGTGGCTAAAAACCAGGTGCCATCAGGAGGTCCACTAGTGGGGCCAGGATTCTGGAAGCCCTCCCACTTTTGCCCCCAAGCACCAAGAATACAGAGCATCACTGCCCCAGAAATAGTTCCATCTGTACCTTCTAGCTAATAGCCACTGATGGACCTCTGCTCCATATCTATATATCTAATAGCCAAGGGTCCCTCTGCATACGGATACTTATTTCCGCAGAACAAGGGTACCTGGAAGCTAAAGAGGTTTTCCTGCACACATGGAGTACTCTCCAGGGTTGCATAAAAATGCAAAAAGTTTTAAACTGAGTTGTCTGCACTTGGAGGTGCACTCACGCCGGACTTGGAGCTTTGCTTAGTGGCCGGCCTCCCCGCGGCCAGCAAGACAGCCTTGGAGTAATGGGGCAGGGAACGCCAACGTCGCCAGGTCCTTCCTCGGCAGCTGGCCTCCCCACCGCCAGCAAGGCAGCTTTGGAGCCACGGGGCAGAAGATGCCGCCGCCAAATCCCTCCCAGGTGAGTGGCCTCCCCACTGCCAGAAAAACAAGGAAGCTGCAGAAAAGGAGGCCGAGGGGGGGGAGAGACAGAGAAATAGTGGAGAGAAAGAGAGGGACAGACTGAGAAGGAGTGGGGGAAAGAGGACATTGTGTGAGAAGGGCTGGAGTAAGAGAGGGGTGAGACATACAAGTGGTGAGTGGAGAAAGGGGGTGAGAGAGAATTCCTAGAGAAGGGGGTAGGGAGGAAAGCTAACATAGAAGGGGTGAGAGGGGGATGTGAGGGAAGATTGATAGATAAGGGGTGGGTGCAGAAAGACAGGAGGGAACTTTGACAGAGAAGGGGGACAGAGAAGCAAAGGTGGGGGAAATGCCCCCTCCCTGCAAGTTTCTTGCGGGTCTCCCCTTGTGTTTATCTAATCCCCTCTTAAAGTTGTCAGTGCTTGTAGTCACCATCACTTCCTGTGGCAGTGAATTGTACATGGTAATCACTCTTTGGGTGAAGAAGTAACTCCTTTTATCTGTTCTAAACGTACTGCTCATTAATTTCATTATCGCCGAGTTCTTGTATTGTGATAAAGGAAGAAAAGTACTTCTTTCTCTTCCTTCTCCATCCCATGTCTAATTTTGTAAACCTCTATCATGTCACCCCACAGTCGTCTTTTCTCTAAGGGAAGGAGCCTTAACCTCTTTAACCTTTCTTCATAGGGAAAGTGTTCCATCCCCTTAATAATTTCAGTTGTCCTTTTTTGCACTTTTTCCAATGCTGTAATATCTATTTTGAGGTGCAGTGACCAGAACTGTATACAGTATTCCAAATGTGGCCACACCATCGATTTATACAGGGGCATTATGATACTGACTGGTTTGTTTTCAGTTCCCCTCCTGATAATCCCCAGCATAGCATTTGCTTTTTCTATTGCCACCGCACACTGAGTTGACATTTTCAGTGAGTTATCTATCATGACTCCAAGATCTCTCTCCTGGTCAGTGTCCCGCAGTTTGGACCCCATCAACGTGTATTTATAGTTAGGATTTTTGGCTCCAGTGTGCATTTCTTTGCACTTGCCCACATTGAACCGCATTTGCCATTTAAAAGGACTAAATAATAGCAGACCAACTGCAAGAGAAGTTCACTTTTTATTTAATATGGAGCTGGAAATGTTTAGAAAAGGTGTAAAAAGCTGGTCTCAAGTGAACATAATACAGACCATGTACAATTCTGACATCTCACATAAATTAAAAAAACAACAACAGTTCATGGGAGCTAAAATATCAGTGTGATTCTTTCCCTCTTAGAACCTGTCTCATCTTGATACAGTAAGTAAACAATTGTGAAAGCACCATAAGATAAAACTAACAAACTTAAATAATACAAAATATGTCAAGGTTACTTAGTGGATGCATCTTAATCCTCTGTATGCCAATTCTCTGTTCCGGATGATGTATAAAATAAAGCATTTTTGAACAACGGTATTCATATGAGACTAAATATTGTATCCCTTAAACATTTAATATATTATATGCCTTTATAGATTTGGTGAATGTGATTGCCCAGTATTATCTTGGAATAGACATACAAGCTTCTGTGTGTGCAGTGTTTCTGACATAGCTGCATAACTCAGTCCATCCTCCAGTTGATACTCCTCTGAGTCCCATTGAACCGTCTGGATGTACCTTGTGTGAGCTGGGTGAAAATTTATATTCCCACCAGGACCAATAACTGTTGTGTGCATGAGAGCTGGATTGGGGCCAGCAAGTTTTTAGGTGACCTGCGCAATTGCTTATGATGAGATTTGCAGATGGTCATGCCACTGCACTGCCACAAAATTGATAGGATGCTGGTGTTAAAAGCAAATAATTCACTGCAAATGTTTAGAAGAGAAGAGAGAGATTGGATTTATACCCCGCCCTTCACTACCCAAAGGTGTCTCAGAGCGGCTTACAAACTCCTTTCCCTTCCCCTCCCCACAACAGACACCCTGTGAGGTGGGTGGGGCTGAGAGAACTCTGACACAAACTGCTCTTTTTCAAGGACAGCTGTGCCAGAGCTTGCGACTGACCCAAGGTCACATCAGCAGGTGCAAGCGGAGGAGTGGGGAATCAAACCCGGTTCTCCCAGATTAGAGTCCCACACTTAACCACTACACCAAACTGGTTTAGGATTATATTGTCAGTTTGGTCAGTAAAGACCAGAAATAAGATTCCTTGTCTTCTTCAAATTCTTAATAAAGGTATTGGTTATGACAGATGATTCACTAATATCCAACAAATGATGTGGTTAGCAGTTTTGTTCTAATGTATAAACCAGAAGAGTCTAAAGTACTAGGGATACTTTTCTTTTAATAGAGAAGTCTGCTGGTGACAAAAGCTATGCTAATTTTCTTCAGAACATTCCAGTTAATCTGTAGCACCATACATTTGATTTTATAATATAAATGTTAAAGCTTTATTAGCTCATTATTTGGTACAGTAAGATAATTGTTCCTATTGATTAATTATGGCAGTTTCACAATGAGATCAGTCAGTGATCATTGTAGTTATCCCATGAAAAATGTCATAAATGAGCTTGCCACTTACAGTGCACTCTAAAATACTCTACTATGAACGTTAGCGCCATTGATTTCAAAAGAAAGAACTTGGGTAGTTAGGGGGTTGGTTTTACTATTTTGGAATGAATTTTAGTCTCTTTTAAATTATGGAAATAGTTTTTTAATCTACTTTGGAAACAAAAACAAGTGACTTGTGTTAGACTACAGTCCTAAGCAGAGTTTCACTCTGTTTGATGCTGTACTGTATGTTTGGAAAGGTACAATATTGTTATTAGATTAATTAGGAGTAAGTGGGTTGAAGCTAGAAGAATTAGACCTAAGGAATTTGGAAATAATTCTTTGTGAAGAGAGGAGCATTGTATGTACACACATAAGAGAAGCATTATCTGGTCTTTCCTAAAGCCTAATCTCTTATTATTACCATATCTCAGGGTTGGGGCATGTATATTAATATCTTAATTAAATACATTTCTGTGTGTAGCATTAACATAAAATAATATTTTGTGACGAATTATATGACCCTTTAAAACTGCACAACACACAGCATTTGCACTAGAAATTTAAATTTGTATGTAGACTTTCTTTAGCTAGTCTTTGTTGGACATCTAGAAATAAAAATATGCACACTAAGGTTCACTAATCTTATTTCTGAGGGATGGTGTTAAATTTGAGCAAATAAGAAACCTGAGAAGGAGGAATGGACATACTCTGAGGAGTACAAGCCATTTGATTCATTATTGGGTAGTTGCAACCAGACTTGATCGTTTTCCATGAGGTCAACAACAGCACTACCAGAAGCCTGATCAAGATACCCTTTCTTATACTCATCAAAGGTGTACATGATAGGTGAACCATTTTTGTACAGGCCAACCCAGACATTTGTTCCTTTCACATGCACATGGTAAGCAAAGTAGTAAAGTCCTGGTATCCTGCATGTGAAGATCCCTGTCCTGGGGTCATAGTGCTGTTGTCTATTGTACAAAATTTGATCAAATCTGATAGGGACTGCTGATGTGGGATATGCTTTGGAAAGAATGGCAGTGAAAGCTGAAACGGGCATTCCGGTTATACCTTGACTTGCACCAGCTTTGATAACTGGTACACCTGCTAGGGCCTGGCCATCTGGGAATACTGGCTGTCCGGGGGGACCAGGGGGACCCGGAGGACCTGGCAATCCAGGCTCTCCATTGTTGCCTTTTGAACCTGGCAATCCAGGAGGCCCTCTAGGTCCATCTAAGCCTTTTGTTGCAATACCAGTGGGACCAGGTAATCCTGGTGCCCCTTGTTCTCCTTTACTGCCAGGGAATCCTGGGATACCCGGAGGGCCAACTGGGCCTCTTGTACCGGGTATTCCAGGTGGTCCTCTTGGGCCTGGCTCACCATTAAATCCTGCTGTTCCCTTAGGCCCTGGTGACCCCATTGGGCCAGGTAGGCCAGGAGACCCAGCATGGCCACTATCCCCTTTAGAACCTGGCAAACCTGGCTGTCCTTTTGGGCCAGGAAGTCCTGGCTCTCCTGGATATCCTGATTTGCCCTCTAATCCTGGTAAACCCCTGTCTCCTTTAATTCCTGGGAAACCTGCTGGTCCTGCAGGACCTCTTTCACCTTTGGCCCCAGGAAAGCCATTTTCACCAGCTGTACCTCTCAGCCCTTGTGGGCCCATTGGCCCAGGAGGACCAACTGTCCCTGGTTCCCCTGGAGCACCAACTGGGCCTTGTTCTCCTTTTGCTCCTGGTACACCATTTAGGCCTTCAGGACCTCTTTGTCCCTTCATCCCTGGTAGCCCTGGTCTTCCAAATCCTGGAAGACCAGGAGGTCCAGTCAAGCCTGAAGGGCCTGGAAGTCCTTTTGCTCCGGGAGTTCCTGGTAATCCTGGTGGCCCGGTTGGACCAGGTTTTCCTATTCCTGGCTCACCAGGTTGCCCAGAAGGGCCTTGGGGACCTGGGCTGCCAGCTAACCCTGGTGTGCCTGGTAAACCCCGGTCACCTTTAATACCTGGCTGTCCCGGATATCCCCTATCCCCAGGCCTCCCTACCCCTGCAAGTCCAGGCGGTCCTGGAGGCCCCTGTGTCCCTGGCAGCCCTCTTTCTCCTGGGCGACCAGGAATTCCATATCCATTTTCTCCCTTCTGTCCATTTATGCCAGGTATGCCTGGCTCACCTTTTTCTCCGGGGATACCTCTCGGCCCTTGTAGCCCTGGGAGTCCTTGTTTGCCAGCAACAGAAATCCCTGCTGGACCAGGAATTCCAGCGGTTCCTGGTAACCCTCTTGGCCCTGGGAGACCTGCAGGTCCCATATCTCCTTTTTCACCTGGTAGTCCTCTGTCACCTGGTTTTCCTGGCAAACCTGGCAGGCCTGGCTTTCCAACAGCAGAATGTCCTGGTGGCCCTGGGGGACCTTGTGGTCCTGGAGGTCCTTGGCTGCCATACCCTGGTTTTCCTGGACTCCCTGTAGGTCCTGGTGGCCCTCTTGGGCCTGGTGGGCCAGACGGGCCTTGCTCTCCCCTAGCCTGTAAAACTAAAACAAAATTTAAATAATTAGGATGGTTCAGGAATTTCAAGTTGAATGGCTGTCAGTATTTTTTAAATTTTGAGTTATGCCCCCCCAGAAGTGCAAGATTTGTTTCCTGAATCACTCTGCCTTTCTGCTTCCTGAATCTTCTTTTATTTTTAGTGCTTGGGGGTGGGGGCATAATTTTCTGAAAACCCCTAATGCCCAGAACTATTCCTTTGTGCATTGTCTGGTATGAGAAGCTCTGGACTGTCAAGAAGAAGCTCTTGATGCACCTTTTACTTATGATGACCACATCAATTATTGGGAATCTGGGCTAATACTGGACTGGGAGGAAGCTGCAGCATGAGCTCTTCATACAAGGCAATTCACCTTACCCAGTAGTTGTTGATAGGAGCCTCATGCTACTAGAATAACAGGGACTGAGTCAAAACTGCCTGGTTGGCCACATTTTTTCAATCCAGTCTGCCACCATAGTTTCCATTACTGCTTTAGTGACATTTTAAAATCTAAATACTGGGTCTTTTTCTTCCTGTGAATAGTCACCTGGGTGATGAATGGGATGATGTTATTACCTAGCGAATAACAGTTGCCTGTACAGCAATGTAACTGAGGTCAATCTGAGCCAGTTTAAAGTAAAGGCAATTTAAAAAAAAAGTGGACATACTATGTAACCAATCAGATTTGGCTATGTATCTCAGAGAAAATACAGCCCATACAAACTGAGGGCAGGTGCATCACTAGCAAATACTTTCAAGTCCTTTTGCAAAAAAACTACACTAGGAGGTGCTTTTTGATATGACAAAAAACGTTTATAGCTTTCACTGTAGTTTAGCTGTAGGTTGTTGTTGGCTCTGCCCTGGATAACCCAAACTTGCCCAATCTCATCAGAACTCAGAAATTAAGCAGGGTCAGCCCTGGTGAGTATTTGGAAGGGACACCTCCAAGGAATACTAGACTCATGACACAGAGACAAGCAGTGGCAAACCACCTCTGAATGTCTCTTGCCTTGAAAACCCCATGGGGGTCACCGTAAATCAGCTGTGACATGATGGCAAAAAAAAATAAGTTGAGTGAGCGGGTACATTTTGTACAAATTTTCTTGGGATGAAGGAGCTAGCCCCAAAATGTAGAAGCCAGGTTCATTTTTCACCTTTCAGGGTGTCATACTTTAATGACCACATTTATACTACAAAACCTGATCATAACTTTATCTTTTCTTGGAATTGTATTAAACCTGTGACAAAAGCATTGCAGTATGTAGTGCTAACCCTGGTTGTTATGGCCACAGCAAAAAGCTAACGTCTAATCGTAGTTTAACATCTCCCCAATTTGTTGCTTTAAAATGTCCACTGTATTGAACATTCAAGTTGGTATAGGAAAACAGGTTAGGAAATGAATTCATCCACCACCAATGAATTCAATTCAATTCAAAACCTTTATTGGCATGGATCAGAATCATAAACAGTCACCCGTCAGTTCATGGATTTAACACACAGCTTCCTCATTATGAGGCAGCTACAGAAATTAGCCACCGCTTCGATAACCACTGTATTTTGTGAAGCCAATAAACGGTACAACATTCTGTCATCTGATTGCTTGACATCTTTCTTAAGTATGGCTTCTAGATAGACTGCCCGAATGTCATCATACAAACTACAGTGGAGGAATACGTGTTCGATTGTTTCAATCTCCTCTGAATCACAACCACAAAACCTAACAATGAATTGTGTAAAGTTAAGTTTTCCTATAAACAAGCAATTAAATGGCCAAAAAGAGTAAAGTAAGCAAACCTCAAAACACATACAGTTAAAAGAACCTTGAAATGAGTTTTAATCGGGTCATTTTGTAGAAAAAGAGCTGCAGGAGCTCATTAGCATACCTACTAACCTATTAGCATAATAGCTCATTAGCATATGCCACACCCCCTGACATCACTGGAAGTGATGTAAGAAGAAGAAACAAAGGGGGGGAGGCATCTTCAAAAGTCTCCCCTTCCCTTTCCCAGCTGGCCTGCCAAGGCGGGCTGGGGGGGGGGGAAGGGAAGAGAGAAGGGGTTTAAACTTTAAACCCCTTCTCTCTGGAGTCGTGCCGCAGCAGCGGTGCGATCTCTCCACTGTATTCTTTGGCCTCATAGAATATAATGGAAAGATTGCACTGCCACTGCGGTACAACTCCAGAGAGAAGGAGTTTAATGTTTAAACCCCTTCTCTCCAGGGTCGCACCGCTGCAGCGGTGCAATCTTTCCATTGTATTCAGTAGGGCCATAGAATACAATGGAGAGAGAGCGCCACTGCTGCAGCATGACTCTAGAGCGAAGGAGCGCCGGGACGGGGCTTACCGCCACCGCCATTTCTTCCTGTTCCTGGGCTCCTGGAGCAGCGCTCCAATCCCAAACGACCCCTAGTTTTAATTATTTATAAATTACAATAAAATAACACTAGATCTCACAATGCATAAGATGTTGCTCTATTGTACATATGCAGATGGTCAAGAATATAATAAAACAACAAAACACCAAATGTGTCTCAGCTGACTGCCATCCTCAGTGGTACAATAAATATTATGAAGCTAACCAACTTTGAATGAATACCGTCAGTTAAATCACCACATGCAAATGTATCCAAATATCTCATGTTATCAGAAAGTCTCATGTTTGGTACATATTGTAGACTTGTAATTGAGTTGAAAGTGTGGAGAGTACTTGCAGTCTGTATTCATAACAAGGCTTCTTTGAAGTCTTATCACTATGAGATGTAGAAGAAGAAGAGAAGAAGAGATTGGATTTATACCCTGCTCTTCACTACCCAAAGGAGTCTCAGAGCAGCTTACAAACTCCTTTCCCTTTCCCTCCCCACAACAGACACCCTGTGAGGTAGGTGGGGCTAGGAGAACTCTGACAGAAACGGCTCTTTTTCAAGAACAGCTGTGCCAGAACTATGGCTTGCCCAAGGTCATCCAGCCAGGTGCAAGTGGAGGAGTGGGGAATGAAACTTGGTTCTCCCAGATTAGAGTCTGCACACTTAACCACTACACCAAACTGGTTATGTAGGCACATAACCCAGTCAAAAATGGGTAGGATAATATTTGTATGAGCACTGAACAGCAACTGGAAGAATATAAATTTGCATATAAACAAGTAATAACAAGAGCTTAATGCACATTTATGTTTAAGTTGTACTGCAAAACATTTGATTTTGCTGCCGGCGGGGGATTTGGGGGCTTTCTGAGGTGGGTGGGGACATTGTCAGTGTGTTGATGTCACTTCCAGAAGTTACATCATCACATCGGCAATGTCAGGGTGATGCTCTATTTTTTTGGCAAAACTCTATGGTAAAAATGGCTACAAACGATAGAGTTTTGCCCAAAAAGTAGAGTGTTGCCCTTAATGTCACTGATGTTTGGAGGTGGAGTTTCCTCTGATGGCTAGCTGGCCAGTGACTGGCCCGAGCCTATAGAAGTGGGGGATCCCCTGCCCCCACCTGGGGGCTGGTAAGCCTGTAAAAACCTAAATAAGACTTGGGTTGGATTCAACCAGTTTTTTCACTCTTGGCCACTTCTATTCCTTATCACAGACCTTGTTTTACATGGCCTTTGTCCATGTAGGTCCCATGATCCCAAAAGTAGCCTTTGTGTTGGATCCAGTATTTTGTACCTCTGAGAACTACTGAAAATATTAGGTGGTGTAATAAAATATCTAGGCTCCATTTGCTTTGACTTTCACTTAAGGATCATAGCAAATTTCCTGAGAGCTGTCTTATGATAATGAAGCAGAATATTTACATTTTATGAAAAGTCAGTTTGGAATGAATTAAATGAATTAAACATTCCATTTTTTGACCTCGGGGAATAAAAGCAAACATGTTTGTGGATAGCATTAAGCAACTAGATAATGTGGACTTAATTAATACAGCATGACAGCAAACTGAAAGCATCCTGTTGGCTTTAATGTACATGAAGTTGTGGTTTAAATATTTGGTGGCAGAAGTTTAGAGTCCTAGGGTTCATACTTTCATAATTTTCATGGCCTATAAAAGTTTTGGAAGCTTTGCCTGTAATAAGTAGAGAAGCTTTGATGGGTGGAGTTTGCTCATGTTTTCTTATAAGAAACAACATTCCAAAGTAAAATTTCAAAGGAATAAGAAATTACAGGTGATGTATTCACAACTTTGGACTGAATTAAATGATACTTCTATCAGTATGGTGCAATTTACATTGCCATCATGACTGCTAGGGAAATTTCTGTCCACTCAGGAAAACTGAGCACAAATTTGTACAGAGGGAAAAAGTGGAGGAAATTGACTGCCTTTTCTTGGGGTCCTTTTGAGCTACAATGACTTAAAGAAAGAAAGCGGATGATAAAATCTCCTTGATGTCATATACCTTACTTGTACTGTACTGAAACAGCAAATAACTGGAATGTCCATAATTTGCTAGGTTAAAAGGTGGCAGCCCAGACCACATGATTTATTTGTAGAAGAGAGGGACATTTGTTATAAGGAATTGCTTGTGATCACTTGCCTTTCAATGCACTCTGAAATGGATTAAAAACTATTCACACAATGGGCAAAAAGGTACACTGTTGATGGAATATATCAATCAGGTTACAGAGCTAAGTAATTTCTTCAAGTTAAATGAATATAAATTCATTTATTGAGGGGCTGTGGCTTGGGCAGAGCATCTCCTTGGCATGCCAAGTTCAGTCCTTGGCATCTCCAGTTTAAAAAAAGATCAGGTTGTAGGTGATTTATAAGACATCTCTACCTGAGACCCTGAGGAGCGCTGCTAGTCTGGGTAGACAATACTAGCTTTCATGGCCAGTGGTCTGATTCAGAATAAGGCAGCTTTATGTGTTCAATTACTGTTAAAAAGAAATGGTAGGGGAAAGATGTAAAATTTTTATTAAAATGATTTTACAGATTGGACTTATGCATTGATAAGGATTGTTCTTCCAGTGTGTTTGTAAATATATGGTTGTTTATGTTGTGTGTGTGTGTTTAATATGA